TATGGAGAGCCTCTCTCTATCCTAACGTAAACTACTTATAACCCAACTTTTCCTAGGGTCTATACTTTCTGGAATGTTGTCAGTGTCTTTTATTTATTGGCATCCTCATGACACTTGGATGTACATAGTCTCTAGCATTTGAGATCGCTCAGACTCATTCCATTGTTGTCAGAAGTCTTGGCCGACCTCTTATCTCGTTTATATTTTATCTCCTGATCTTCCTCTTGAAAGTAGGAATATAGATATTCCTAGCCCTAATGATTAAACCTTGGGACTTATAAAGAGTTAATTGTCATCGCATGCCATATGTCTTTATAAATAGGTGACTTCAATGTTTTAATCCACTTCACATTTACAAACCAAATTTTTAAGCCACAAAAATTCTCATATTCTACTTAAAAGATACTTCTTCGAACCATATCATTTTTTCCCGAAATTCAGCTCAAGTCCCTTTCATTAATAGGCTTCTTTGTCTCAATTGTTTCCTTCTTCTCTCGTTTTTAAGTCATAATATTAGGTAATCACTTAACCCTTTTGTATATTTTGTTAAAACCTTTTCTTAGTCAATTATGTTTATTCGTGAATGTAATGCGTTCAAGAAGGCTATAGAACCCAAAACTTTTCAGAGATGAATGCGTTGTGGAAGCAAAGCTTGCTAGCTTTGAAAAATGGTACCAAGAGAAAGGAATGTAAATTTATGAAAAGGGGTATGTTAGGTATCTCCAATATTTCTTTTAATGATAGTGACAATGAATTGGTATGTTCATCCTCAGGTTGTGTTAAAATCATCATGAAGCTTTCCAATTCTCCCCGACTCTTTTAAAGAGGAAGTTATGAGTCTTGAATTGATTTTTCTCGACCATAATTGGGTGGATACCTTTCGAGTGGGTCTAAATCCATGTGTTCGAGAAGAAAATGTTTGCATGTGGCGGACTCTTAGAGTACGTAACGAGTATTTCTATTTCAAAGTTGGGATCATTGACAGTTTTTGAGTGGGCATCCCTTTCACCCTATTTGATTATGATATTCTTCGAGTACTCAATGTTGCCCTCTTTTAGCTACACCCAAAAAATCAGGCCTTCACTTGAGGATTTGAGATTATCAAGGGTATCAACATTATTCCTATGATTAGAATCTCATTTTATTTTAGGAGACTAAATGTGTGGCTCGGGTGGTTGGGTTTCTCTGAGCATTATTCCATGGTGAACTATTGTTTTCCCCTATACCTCCAATTATAAGAATTAGAAAGAAAAATTCATCCAGGTTTGAGGATGCTTCCATTGTCCTAAAGTTATCTATGAGGGTGATGGTTCATACTGATTTATTAGATCAACGAACCTCTTGTCATCACAAGCTACGGCCCAAACAACTTAAGTGACATGGAAAGAGAGGAAATTGATTTTTCGGAGTAGTTTTGTATCATTTGACTGGAAACTTGTAAAAGTAACTCTCTTTACTAACACACCGCATAATCTTGATAGAGAAGACACAAAATTGCCTCTGAAAAAAAAAACAAAGGTGGAATCTAGAAAATCACCCATATATTTCAGAGTTATCTCCTCGATTGATTTAAAGGTGGGAACGTTATAGAAGGTAGAGGGGGTAATCCTAAAAACGGTTATTCCTCCTCTGCTCATAGCGAGGAAGAATTTAAGTTATGGGATTAGAGGTTTGATGGGCTAACCTTCATTTATGATCATTTCAATGTTATTGGAGATATTGAGAAGGAAAAGTTAATAAGGGCTTAAAAGGTGTTTCAACTTCTTGGAACTTACTTGATTAGAAGTGTCGTGCGTGGGCGGGCTCTATTCAAATATTTGGGTTCATCAAGAAATAGAGAGAATGAGCTGAAGGGAAAGCTAAACAAGATGTATGAAAACCAATATGTCAATCAGACCATGCTGAGTTTGGCTAACAAGAGGATAACAGTTCTCGAAAAAGACTTGGAAAAGAAGGAGGAATAAAGAGACTCCCTTCAAAGGGGAAATAAATATTTGGAGACTAGCTGTTAGAACCATCCTGTCAAGCTCACCGAAATGGAATTCAAAGTAGGTTATGTCATAAATATAGAGGATGATCATGCTTCTTTTTTCATACACTTTGGACTAACCTTGATGAGGCTATAATGGAAGGTCTCATTTCTGAATATTAAGGGTTTGATTAGGAAAAAGCTCAAGCTATTTATATTTACCCCCAATTCAACCTTAATGAAGTGAATTATGTCAAGGTGGTAGTGGATGTTTGCCTCATAGAGGAAACTTACCTAGAGGTCGATCAGAACCTAGAAGACGAGCCTAAAACCATGTCTTCCCTGCATGGGGGTTCCTACAAAGCTAACTAACGTGGAAGAGAGAGACCCTCTGGAAAAAATCCTTTTGAGGCCGCCCCTAACACTTAGGAATTGAATTTTCTAATAAATTTTGTTTTTATTTGTTTGTATACGTAATCAACTCTCCATGTTAAATGATAATTACATAATTGTAATTTTTATCTTCTTTAATCAATATGTTTTATGCTCCATGTCTGGTGTTTTCTAATGAGATTTATTTAAATTTTATTTATTATATTAAAATCTATGCAATGTATTGACGACACCACCAAATAAGAGTTGGAAATATTGTGTTGGAGTCGTAGAGAGTCTTGTGTAGAAGCAAGGAAAGCTCGACGCATTCCTGCTCGGTGCTCCCTTGGGAGTCTTAAGAAGATGCAAGGAGAGCCTAATGGGTTTTAGCTTAGTGATATCTTTGGAGTCTTAAGTGGATGCAAGATGAGTTAGTGGGTTCTTGGCTAGTGCTATCGTAAGAGTCTTAAATAAGTGTGAGGAGTGTTGGACAAATGACTTCAAGCACAAAAGGGGAGGGGGTGAATTGTGGTATTCAAAACTCGCGATTAAATTAGAGTATTTATTACTTAAGAAGCAAATTGTGTTAGTATGTTTTAAGATCATAATAAAAATAGTGGTGGAAAATAAAAGCAGTAAAGTAAATAGTAGAAATTAAAAGGCAAGGGTTAAAGAGATGACACAAGCGAATTATTCAGGTTCGGCCAAACATTGACCTACTCCTGTCCCTAGTAGATCTTCTTGAGATTTGCCTTTAATATTGAGCTTTTACAAGTTATACCCACAAACATTTCATACAACCGAATCAAGATATTTTACAAGGGCTTATCCCCAACCAAAACTAAGCCTTTCCGCGGGGTTGAATTAAAAAAAACATGAGTCAAGATTTGCCTCAAACTCTATTACACATTTTCTTTATCATCTTTGATTGAGGGGATAAGTCAATTTAAAATCTCTCGATTTGATTGTATCAAGGATTCGTGGGCATAACCTATAAAAGTTCAACATTACAGTGAAATCTCAAAAAAAACTCTTAGGGACATGACTAGGCTAACATTCGATCGAACCTGGTTAATTCGTTTGTGCTGGTTTTACTACTTTATCTATCTCTTTTACTTGTTTTACTACTTTATGTATTTTCGCTGATTTTTCTCTCTACTTTTATGAATACTAACACAATTTTCTTCTTAAGTAATAAAACCTTAAGATTAATCATAAATTTTGAATACCACCATTCACCCTCCCTCTTCTTGTCCTTGGAGTTACTTGTCCAACATTAGCTTCCTCCTCTTTAGATAATGTGATTCCTATTAAGGCCTACTTGAATGGTCTTCGATTCCTCTGTAAGTGTCATCCTATCCTTCAAAGGGTTAACTTGTGGGTCTAAATCTATATAACTAACTTTGCATGGGCGATCTGAATAGGAGAGCTCTGCACTACTCTTATTTCTTAGCTTCAAACTGTAGCATATTATCGACAATTGCTTGTCACTTTTTACTACCCCTACTCGCTCATTGCTTAAGGGATACTTCATTTGTCATGTTTATAGTTGATAATGCGACATTCAAAGCGTTGAAAGTCGGTCGGCTAATGATGATATTGCATGGGGATAAGGCGTTTACCACCATATATCTTACTTTACAATTTTTGCGCTTCCCCATTTTCTATAAGTATTCAGAATAGTGACATATCCTAACATTTAAACTTGCTCTCCCAAAAAACTGACCAATGAGCCCTTAAAAGGCTGGAGGAGCTTGGGATCTATCTTCAAACCTACAAAAGTATCCTAGTATAAAACGTCGGTCGAACTTCCAAGATCTACAAAGACTCTTTTGATGCTTCAATCATGAATTCAAATGTTGATTATCATTGGATCATTCTCATGGGGAATTATCCATTCTACACCCCTGCTGAAGAAACTGATTTCTAGTGTTGGAATTGATTTCTCAAACGTTAGTGTATGACGGTGTGCATAACCTATCAAACATAATTTTTCAGGACAAGCTGGATTCCTTGCCTCCTGCAAAGCCTCCAGTGATCATGCTCAAAGTTTGGTGTGTTCTGTCGGGCTCATGGTCATCTTCAAAACTCTGGGCCCTTTGAGGCCGAGGAGTTCTTCGTTTGGCTTCTCTGCACGAGCACGGAGCCAGTAAGTCGCAAATACGTGTCTGAATGTGTGTCATATGAAAAGTGTTTGTTCCTACTATGTGATGGTTGCTAGTTTACGTAAGATCTGGTATGCTCTGAATCTTGTATGACCAATTTATTTGACATTATGATTCATGCCTCTTTGTCTATTCTCATAGTTTGTTTGCTCTACGTATATATTCTAGATTTGTTGTAATTTGAATTTTTATATGCTGGCCTATTTAATTCTGTTTGCAATTGTCATTTATTCCACTTGTCTTATTAAATTCAGAATAAAATATGAAAAAAAAAACTACTCATAATATAAGAAAATTAATTAATTAATAATTCTTCACTGAGGTCATCCATAACCCCTTAAGCTTTTTTTTCTTTATATATATCATTAGAATCACAAAGAAAACATTGAAGCATATAGTTATAATTCTGTTATATAAATGATCTCGGGCCACTAGGTAAAACATAGCTGAATATATAAGAAGGGTAGCTATTTTTATTTTCACACCCCCCTATACTAGAGGAAAGTACATGTCCTTGTCTTGCGTGGTTTCTTCTTGGGCTTTGGTGGCCTCAATGCAATCTTTATAGCAGCATCAAACACTACCTTCACATTCTATAACCAAAACAAAAACCATATTTGCTTCAAAATATGACATAAGAGATACTCAAATCCAAAAAACAAGTGCTGCAATGCAATTTTACCTGCTGTGTTTTAGAGCTGCACTCAATGTACGAAACTGCTCCAATCATTTTTTTTAACTCTTCACCCTATTTTCACCATAATCATTCATCAAATCCATTACACATGCAAAATAAATATAGACATCTTTTTGAATAATTTATTTTACGAGAACATGCCTTAGCAGTGGTTATTTGAGTGGCTCCAGAATGATCAAGAAAAAACTGCTTGTCGTCTCGCAAATCTGTGCATATGTTAAGATTTAATCAAAAAAAGAAGAGGATGATTTGTAAATTTGTAAGCTTGGTAGTTGGTATACCAATTATATTTGTCACTTTGTTCTAATAAAGAGAAAGAAGAAAAAGATGATTTTCATTACTATTAAATGATGATGGTGATTGAAATTCTACTTTGATGGAATTTGCTTACCTAGTTTTGTTCCTACCAGCACAATAGGCACATTTGGTGCATAATGTCTCAGCTCAGATATCCACTGTTTATCAACTGAAAATGTTATTATTACATTAACAAAACAATAGAAATCTAAGTAATGATATAGAGGCAAGAACCTTTTTAGAAATGTTCTCATAACTTGCTTTACTGATGAGAGAAAAACACAACAAAAACACATCAGCTCCTCTATAACTCAATGGCCTTAATCTATTGTAATCTTCTTGTCCTGCAAACCACACAAATCACACCAATAAAATTAAAAACACTGTAGCACCGACACATCAAAAAAAATAGCGTATCTGTGTGTATGTGGCTCTGTCGGATACTGACACGACACCAACGTTGTCATTATTGGTGTCGTGTTTGGTGTATGTGTCTGTGTTTCATAAATAACCTCACAAAATTTGGTTTTAAAACTAACCTGCAGTATCCCATAAACCAAGATTAACGGTACTACCATCCACAACTACATTAGCACTGAAATTGTCAAACACAGTTGGAACATAATCCTATCAGAGAAACCATATCAAGAAAAACAGTTAGATTCATCAGTCATCAATCATCATTGCTATCACATATTGAACTTTCTATATATAACAAGAAAATAGAAACATACTGTAGGAAAAGTATTGCTTGTATAAGATATAAGCATGCATGTCTTTCCAACAGCCCCATCTCCAACAGTTACACATTTGATAAACCTAGCGGTACTCATATTCTCTCTCCTTCTTCTTTTACTTAACTATAATGAACAAAACTATAGTTTTTGAAACAATATTTATAAAAGAAGTTAAAGTAAAGGGTGAGTAAGAGTAAGTCTATTACCTACTTTTAGTTGTTGCTGTGGCTCATGAAGTTGATCAAAATATATAATGATTCCACTAGAAAAGTGTTACTTTTCTTAATGTGTAAGGAGAAAAGGAGATATGGTAAGAAAGTAGGTATAGTGGTGGTGTTAGTTAGTTGGTTAAGTGTAGGAGAAGGGAGGTAATGAATGATGAAAAGCAAAGAATTTTGCTTAATTAGCTAATGCACTATGATGAAATTAAAGTGATTTTTTTTGAGGTTTGATGTGATGTAAAGTAAGTCAAATAAGTTTGTTGTGACATGTTTGTTGGGTATGTCTTTGTTTGTAATTATGTATGTTGGTGGTTATGGTTAAACAGATTGAGCTAGGACACATTGGTTTCTTTATCCTTCATTGGGTCCACTCTTATTGGAGCTAGGTACTAAAAAAATGAATGTTTTTTACTCCACCTTATTATTGCAAAACAGAAAGAGCAATGGAAAAACATTGCTAAGCAATGTTCTTTTTTATGTATTGAAGAGAGTTGCAACTTACAAACCCATCATGATTTAGTTTAATTTGTTAATTTTATCTTAATTTCTGTTCAGTCGTAGTCTTTGACCATAGGAACATTATGTCCTTACGAAAAGCAATTAATATTGTGTAAGTAATTGATAATGTGAAAGAAGCTTATGGAGATTATTTGGGCTTTTTGAAACCTAAATTTGGTTTGGGCCCTTATACTTCCACCCACGGCCTCTTTCTACCAGCACCCACACTTCTTCAAAATTGCATTTTTCAACCTCATCACTTCCTTTGGTTTCTTCAACGCATGGTGGTGACATTCGTTCCGCTCTTTTTCCTGTTGCCCAAAAAATGGAGATGGATCATTCATCCACATTAGCTAAATTGATGTTTCTAATTTAGCTAATGATTCTTCTTCAGTTTCTTCAGCTCTTTGAGCGATGGTTGTGTCTTCAGTAACATGAGTTGGATTCTAAGTCTGCTTTTCCACCTTTGTCACATTAGGCATCAAATTTGATGGTTAAATCTATTCCAAATCACTTAATTCTCGTGCACCACACTCTTTATCTAATTTCAGAGATTGTTATAACTTGTGCTTCTATTGGTTTTTGCTTACATGACAATGTTTCCACGCATGTTCAAGATACAGGCATGAGTACCTCAAGGCTTTATTTGTCCATTAGTCTTTGAGATGTTTCTCTTCCTTGTGCTACAAGTTTGGAGTGTTTCGTTACCTTATAGAATTCTTGTTAGTTTAAATGATCATGATGTTGTGGTTTCTTTGAAGATTATAAAGATAGATAGATTGACAACTAGAATGTACCTTTAGATTGAGTGAGGATATAAAAGTGGCAAGACTTGCTGGTCTAGAGAGTAGAGATTGTTGCCAAAAGTCTGTTAGGTCTTTAAGGTGTTATCTTTAGACGTTGATAGGATATTTTAACATTTGTGAGTTAGGGAGTTCTATTAAGAAGTCTAAGGTGGAGAAGCTCATTTCCTCTAATTCTCTGAAGTTTGTGGCAATTCAAGAGACTGAACTTCGTGAGGTATTTGTTTCCTCGGTTCGTTCTCTTTGGGGAAATTTGTTTTGTGAGTGGATTTTTATTCATGCGATTGGCAATAGTTGATGCTTCCTCTCTATCAGGTGTTGCAATAAAGGAAGATCCTTGTTTTGCTTTTTGCTTTGGGGTTTTTTGGTATTTTCCTAGAGTGGACCCCCTTAAAAACCTTATGTTCCGTGGTTAATGATCACTTTAGATGTACCCTGGATGATAAGAAAGTTACGTGGGAAGAAATTCTTAAGCATATATAAACGGAGGTTGGCATGTGAGATTTGGTGTGTTCTTAGAGATTTTAATTTGGTTTGTTTCAGTTCTGAGAGGATTAGTGCTCATGGTCTGCAACATCTTATTGGGTTGACTGATAGTCTGGAGTTTTTTGATTTCATCTTCGAGATGAGTCTTATCGTTCTTCCCCTCATAGGTAGGAAGTTTACATGGTTTCAACCAAGTGTGGGTGCTGCCAGTAGACTTGATAGAATCCTATTGTCTGATGTCTGGTTTTAGAGGAGGAGTCAAATGTCTTAGTGGGAACTTCATAAATATGTATCTGATCACTGCCTTGTCATTTTTTTCTATACCAATAAGTTGCTTTATGCTTTGTTCCTTTCCTTAAAGATTAATCTGACGACCTCTATGTATGATGGAAATAAGAGTTATGGTCCTGATGTGTTTAATTTCTCATTCTTTAAGAGATTTTGGCCTCTTTTTAGGGTTGATTTAGGTATCATGTTTGATGAATTCCATTCTCTGGCTTCTTTCCCCCATTGTTTTTCATGTTATATTGTCACCCTTGTCCCAAAAGTCGACTTTATCTCTAGCTTGGGGGATTTTAGGCCTATATATTTGGTAGAATCTCTTCTTAAGCTGGTGGAAAATGTTTTGGCCTCTAGGTTAGCTAAGGTTATGGATAAACTAGTATCTCCAAACCCATATGCTTTCCTAGAAGGTGGATTTCAAAAAGGTGTACGATTCTGTTAGTTAGGGTTTTTTGGATTATATTATTTCTGTAACACCCCGTTTCCCAAAATAAAATAAAACAACTAAATAAGCACACATCAGAGTATCTCCCACAACGGGATGTCACAATTCACACTAAAATTCTACAAAACATTTTTCCAAATTAATTTCTCAATAAAACTGCAGCGGGAAATATATACATAGTCTGTCATATATCACAAAACATATATATATATATATATATATATATATATATATATATATATATATATATATATATATATATATATATATATATATATATATATATATATATATATATATATATATATATATATATATTATCCATATCCATCACCCTCGTCATATATATATATACAATAATGGCCATCTGCCCAAAATACATATAGCATCATCTACAATCACCATCAAACAGGATACGCCATAGGGGCACACAAAATCAACATAAAGCGATAAAACTCCCAAAAAGGCCCCGATGTTACGTATTAGAGCAGTCTTACAGAGACACCACAATCCAAGCTAGCTAAACACCTGGATTGTCTGTACTTCCGAAGAAGCACAGACCACAACAACAGAAAAGGGGTGAGAATCACGATCAAATAATAATGGTATAATAGTACATGAAATGAAAGAAAAAAATCAATAATAATACTATTTCATATACTTATCATCCGGACTCACGGTCCCACCATCAACCACAATACACAATCACACAACAAATGCACTCACACAACTCTTAACATACGGTACCGACTCACAATCACGATGGGCAACTGACCATCAACCCTCCATACAGGAGCACATAACAACGATGGGCAACTGGCCATCAACCCTCCACACAGGAGCACATATCAACGATGGGCAACTGGCCATCAACCCTCCACAATGGGAGCACCACAACAATACTGATGGATACCTGGCCATCACCCTCCACAACGGGAGCACCACAATAATACCGATGGACACCTGGCCATCACCCTCCACACAGGGAGCACGACAAATAATATCGATGGACAACAGGCCATCACCCTCCTCACAGGGAGCACACCCACAATATTCACATACATCATACATCTAGCACACCAAGTGCAAACCGATCTTATTGATCCACCCCTCACACAGTATATATACACGACACACAAGGCGTACCGATCCCACGGATCCTTCACATCATAAAATACATACATAACAAGCACCCAAAGTGCGTCGATCCCACTGATCCGCTCACCACACAACTTATCACATACAATGCACACAAGGCACGTCGGTCCTTCTGACCAAAGTATATCACATAGCCGCACATAAGTGCAACGCATAATAAGCGTACCGATCCTCACAGATCCACTCACCACAACACACCAACACAACGCACTCAAGGCGTAACTGATCCTCATATCTCGCACACAACACATCAATACCACGCGCACAAGGCGTAACGATCCTACGAATCCACATCCATCTCACAACATACAAACACAACGTATAACAAGCGTATCGATCCTACGGATCCACATCCATCTCACAACATACAAACACAACGCATAACAAGCGTATCGATCCTACGGATCCACATTCATCTCACAACATACAAACACAATGCATAACAAACGTATCGATCCTATGGATCCACATCCATCTCACAACATACAAACACAACACATAACAAACGTATCAATCCTACGGATCCACTCATCACCACATATAGCACATAGTGCATACATATCACATACACATCCTTACACATCCATACTTATCTAGACTTAATACATAATCCACCGATTATGTCAAATGCGATAAACGCCGGCCACATAACCCTACAACCCTCAACACACTCTCAGCATCCCGCTATCATCACAGCACATCAATCCGACCGCACTCAGCACCCTTATATCACCACATACATGTATCTTAACATACACTGACGCAATCTCTCAAATTAAATGAATATCAAGGAGTTCACATCCTGCGCTACACAACATACAGGTATTATAACATACCCCAATCCACATATCATGATCCCACGAGTACCACAGTCGTCACGTCCTAACGCCACACATACACTCACCTCAGCTCTCCAGCAAGTTCCTCATCATACATGACCAACAAGGGTCCAAAACCACAAGGAAACAACACAAACAACATCAAAAACACAAGCTGCTGTCGGGCTTGCTGGCGCGTTCGCTCGGCGAAGGCTCGTTGCCATTCGCCTGGCGAAACCTCTGGCGAAGCCAGACAGAAGCTTCTGCCAGCACTCGCTGGCTAGTTCGCTCGACGAATCCTGGCGAAGGCTCGCCCCTCATTCGCCCAGCGAATACCTGCGTACTCAAAAAAATTATGAGCTGCAGAGTCACCTGCCACACCGAT